AAGCCCTCCCTTCCCAGAAGGAAACTGATTTCTGAACATCACATTGTGAAGCCATTAGGACCATTTAGGCACGTTATCATTAAAGACCGCAGCGTAAGGTACCTGCTAGGATGCAAAATGCGCAGGGAAGATGTCAGCTGGAGATATGTTTTGTTCAGGTATTTCTTTCTCCACACACACCACTGAAATAATAAAAATAAAAATTAAAAGGCCAGGAGCCTTCAGGCATCTGAAATGACTCTATGCTTGGCACCCAAAAGGTCACCCAGTGAGTGAGACCCCTTGGCACTTTTCCCCTATAACAGCTTTTGTGCAAATGACACCGCATGGATCAATTCAGCCATAATAAAGGCTACTGGGAATGGACGAACGGGACAATCTTTCTCACAGCCAGAAGCAAACACCCAGTGACCAGAACAAACCTCCTGTTATCTGCTACCACTGTTATCAAGGTCTTGTTGCTGCAAACGGTGCTGTGAGCGAAATCATCGTAGAAACACACAGTTTGTTTTGCTATTAGAGCTGGTTTATTGCAGCTAGTGGAAAATTTTGTACAGGGAGGTCTCAAAGACCTCCCCTCATTTGAGGTGTGGAGTATCTGCACACATGGCATCATCTGAACGGTTTAGACAGAAGAAAAACGTCACTTTTTGATGCCATCTTCTAGAATCGGTAGACCGATGTTGTGCAGGGAATGCAAGGTGCTTGCAAAACAACAACTCAGGTCTGAGGGCAGAATAGTCAAAGCCAGAAGACAAAAATCAGATGCTGTTTTCTACTATAGCAACAAGAGGCAGCAACCTGCGAAGACTCCTGTCTTCCGAGGGAAGCAGAGAAACTTGCAGAGCCAAAACCGGGGGGGGGGGAAATGAAATTATATGGTGATTAGAAGCAAGGGCAGACATAGACATCAGTTAAACAACACAGTGATGCAGCATCCTTCTGCTAATGGGGCAACCACCAATGAGGATGGTGCTTAGTTACGGGGTGGTACCTAGCACATCACTATATCCCAGTTTGCCATTAAAAAAAAATCCCATGCCTGCTTAAAATGTGACAGGGTTGAAACCGAGTGGTGCTCAATACTTGTGACTCAGCGCAGAAACTTCTCTACAGCACATACTTTGCTGCAAGCGCTGTCAGCCAGGCAGCCTGGCACAGGGCGGCATGAGCGTTTAACTCCTTCGACATTACTTTGGGGCTGCGGATATTTGCAGCCATAATGCCTTTCTAAACTGCCTAAGTTTGCCAGACATGAGGATTTTGCCACGGTGTTACACTACAATGAAGAACAGACCCCAACCGACCTGCTGCTCTCACGCCTAGGGTGCAGGGGAGGTTTGGAAGTATGGAAGATGTGCTGTTCACCACTTCAGCATCCCAGCTGTGGGGGGAAAAGAGGGGGTGTTAGTATAGAGGGGGGGGAGATGGATGGAAAACCAGTCTCTGTGGGATACAGCAATATGAGGAAGCTCTCCCACTGCCTGGAACTTGGCCATCAGGTCCCCGCAAAGCAAATACAGGTCCTCTTGGGTATCACCGAACTGGGGGGCATTTAAGAACATAGAATCATAGAACATGGGCAGGGACACCTTCCACTAGACCTGGTTGCTCAAAGCCCCATCCAACCTGGCCTTGAACACTGCCAGGGATGGGGCAGCCACAACCTCTCTGGGCAACCTGTGCTAGTGCCTCACCACCCTCACAGTAAAGAATTTCTTCCCAATATCTAATCTAAACCTGCCCTATTTCAGTTTAAAGCCATTACCCTTTGTCCTATCACTACATGCCCTTGTAAAAAGTCCTTCTCCAGCTTTCTTCTAGGCCTCCTTGAGGTGCTGGAAAGGCAAGACGTGGCCTGAACCAGGTGCAGATGTTAAAAACTCCTGCCTGAAACCCTTTCCAACACCCCTAACTTCAGGGAGGGTGACCCCCCGGAAAAAAAAAAAAGAAAGAAAGAAATCACCCGCCTCACGCACCAACAACCACCCAGCCCCAGGAGGTGCCGGGGCGGTAATAAGAAGGTCCAGAGCCCCGTAAAAATGCAAAAAGCCCCGGTTGGGCTTAGGAAAGCCCCCCCCCCGAGCCCTCCTGCAAGGCCTGGCGGCAGAAGGAGGGACCACGCGTGTCCCCCCCCCCGGCCCCGCCGGACCCCCCCTCCGCTCTGCAGCAGCGGGGCCGGGCGCTCCCTGCTATTGGCGAGAGGCAGGGAGAGCTTCATCGGATCCTCCCCTTCCTCTCCCTCCCCAGGAGTTTTTTTTGCGAGGTTTTTCCCAACTTTCCAGAAGTTTCTCCCCGGCCCCTTATATACCCCCTCCGCCGGACCGTGAGGTGCACAGGGGAGCCGAGCAAAGCAGCACCCCAGCCCCGCAGGTAAAAAAAAAATAAAATAAAATATAAAAATAAAGGGGTGGTGGGAGGGGGAAACGGGGGCAGCCCGGGTTCGCAGGAGCGCTGCCAGGCAGGGATGTGGCCAAGCTGAGATTGCAGCGGGCTGCGTGTTGGTTTGGGGGGGTCCCTGCGTGTTCGTGGCTGACCCCACGGGGCAGGGAAGGCGGGGGGGGGGGGGGATATTGCATGGGGAAAAGGCGGTTGCGTTGGGGTGGGTTGAAGTGGGGTCGGGTACAGGCTGCCCCACAAGCCGGCTGTGTTTTTTGAGAAAAGACTTTAAAAGATCCGCCCCCCCCCCGCCTTGCAGTGAAGCCGCACCCTGGTTTTACACCCAGGAGAAACTTTAAGGGGGTGAAGAAAGAAAAGAGCGGGGGGGGGATAAGGGAAGCACCAACTTGGTCCAAGTGGTCCTGGAGCAGCCCTGGTTGGAGAAAAAAGCCTCCAGCCCCGGCTGCTGCCCAGCCTGGGAGCCTGCGGGACCCTGGGCACCAGCCCAGCGCAGGAGGGGGGGGTCTCACTACAGGCTCCCCCCGACAAGACTGACTAACCCTGTCCTTCTGCCTGCCTTAACAAAGTGTCACGTCCCTCTGCTGACGTGGAAAATAGCCTTTTGCTTGCATGCCTCCGTCCCGGGGCTTTGTCTCGGTCCTGGGAGAAATACAGTCCTCGAAGGGGTGCGTGCCTCTGGCTGGCTGTCGTGGGCGATGGGACCTCCAAATCCTGCCAGGAGAGCGGGTCCTCAGCGGCCCCGCGGAGGTCTGCGGAATGCCACGTTGGCACAGGGCGTCCCCTTGCAGGGCTGGGCCGTACAAACGCCGGAGAGGATGTTATCGGCTGCACATTCCCCTACATTCCCTCTATTTTCACCCTGGGTTATGAATTCACCGGTAATCTCAGCCCTACTCCAAGGATGGGCAAAATTTCTCTGTCTCGCCGCCGCAGGCTGCGTCACTCGTCGCAGCCCAGGGCACCCAGACAAATTTCTCACCAGTCTCTGAAGTAATGAACTTTTTTTAAGCTGAGGATGTAAGAGGTGTGGGCTGCCCGTTGCTCGCAAGAGAATTACTCCATGTATCTGTTTTCTTTCAGAATGAAAAAGGCAAACGTTGACCTCACTATGAAACAGTTTCAAGGTATCTTTAGAAATAAAAGGGAAGAAAAAAACCAAAAGAAAACCCCTCAAATTTTAAATGCTTGCCACACCCGATGCTGTCTGCACCTTAAAAGTGCATCAAGGGCAGTTTTGAGCCCGTTGCACAAGTCTGTGCTCTTAGGTAGCCAGGATGGCTCTTCCCTTCAACGGAAGGCTTGCTCCCAAAGGCATTTTAGGATACAAGCTGCCTCCCTCTCTGAGGCTACGTAATTCCCAGTCTGGCAAAGGGTCCCTAGTGCAACTGCGCACTCTCTTCGCTTCGGGCTATGTGCGTGTTTCCTTCCATATGTAATCCCAGCGGGCCCTTCGCTTCCTCCTCTGTTGGCTTTAACCCTGAAGCTGCCCCGTTGCAGCCCCTTCTTGTCGCCGCATGCGAGAAGCAGCCTCTGAGGCTGGCCAGGAGCAGGGTGGGAGGAGAGGACCAAGGAACAGAACTTCACGGTAGCCTTAGGCGTGATGCAGCTTGTCGAGGAAAAGCTCGCCCAAAAGCTCGCTTTGTGCATGAGGGTGGAATTTAAGCCCTGAGGATCTGCCGTCAGGAAGGTTTGCTGTGAGCAGCGTGAAGTCGGGAGGGAGGGAAGGTCCGGGGACAGGTTACAGCCTCCGAGGCAGGCGGGATGAGCTCCGAAGAGCTTTCAGGCACGGCATTTAGGACTGGTCAGTCTGCAGATTTATCAAAGCTAGTAGCTCAGAGCCCTCGCTGGGGATGGGTGCACCTACGTTGTAAAGAGATGCATCTACCTAATGCACGAACGTATTGGGAGGGGGCTCTGCTCGGGGAAAGGAGGGGTCCACCACCTTCCTCTGCCCCGGTATCTCCCTGGTAGGGCTGTACAGACAAAACTTAAGTCGGACAAAGCTGACCAGACAGTGCTGGATCTTCTCAAGGGGCCCCTCTGACTTAGCTTGGTGGAAGCTCCTGTGCTCCATCTAGTGTCTAGAAAGCCGAGCATTTGGGTACCGAGCTGGGGTCCCCAGAGAGGACGATCCCTGTCGTACACTGACCCCAGTAGCCCTAGATCGACAGGCAGCACTGTGCTACATGGCCCTTGGGCAACAGAAACATCCTACTTTTAGCTTTTCCCCACCACGGCAGAGGTTTGACCTGCTACTCTGGGGACAGAAATATCTGTTGCTTCCATTCCCTGGCCCCTCCTTAAGTCATTTACTGTACGTGAACATACGGTAATATAGTAAAATTGCTTAAAAAGGAAGCATTCATTCGAAATGCACAGGCTCTGCGTGCCAGAGTGCAGCCTGGACTCTTGAAGATTAACTGTTGCTCAGGGGAAAGCCCAGTGTGGACTTGGGATCACTGCACCCCAAGCGAAGCATTGATGCAGATGCTCTGGCTATCACTGGAGCCTAGGAGTGGGTTTCACTGGAAGAGCCCCCGGGGTCTCTGAATGCTCCAGGAAGGGCGTCAATCGTGCTGACGGTGAGCAATTCTTGCCCAGCAGGTCCTCAGAGGTGTTGGGTGCCGCTGAAGCCATGTGGATTACTCTGGTGCTCGCTCTCTGCGGCCTCGCTGCAGCCGTGCCATCGGAGGACAGAAAGCTGAGCGACAAGGCAACAACGCTGGCTGACCGCAGCACAACGCTGGCCTTCAACCTCTACCATGCCATGGCGAAGGACAAGAACATGGAGAACATCCTGCTGTCCCCCGTGGTCGTGGCCTCTTCCCTCGGCCTCGTGTCCCTCGGGGGCAAAGCCACAACCGCCTCCCAAGCCAAGGCAGTGCTCAGCGCGGACAAACTGAATGATGACTACATGCACAGCGGGTTGTCCGAGCTCCTGAACGAGGTCAGCAACAGCACAGCCCGCAACGTCACCTGGAAGATCGGCAACCGCTTGTACGGCCCTGCCTCCATCAACTTCGCCGATGACTTTGTGAAGAACAGCAAGAAACACTACAACTACGAGCACTCCAAGATCAACTTCCGAGACAAGAGGAGCGCCCTGAAATCCATTAACGAGTGGGCAGCCCAGACCACGGATGGGAAACTCCCAGAGGTCACGAAAGATGTTGAGAAAACCGATGGGGCCCTCATTGTCAATGCCATGTTCTTCAAGCGTAAGTTCTACCTTCAGTTCTTGATACAAGTGACCCAAAACCTAGCCTGAGCCAGTACAACAGCCCAAATGGGAAGGTGAACAAACCCTGGGTCCGCTCTTTTTCAGAGCGAGTAGTTAGGAACTGTGCATGAGATTACCACCCATTCCCTTTTCTTACAAGCTGAATTTCTCTCTCCTGCAGCTCACTGGGATGAGAAGTTCCACCATAAGATGGTGGACAACCGTGGCTTCATGGTGACCCGTTCCTACACTGTGGGAGTTCCTATGATGCATCGCACAGGTAAGTTGCAAACCTCCTGCCCCACGTCAAGACCAACCGGAGTTATGCTTGCTGCTGCTCCATTACCCAGTTTTCCACCAACTGCTTCCAAGATTGTTTTGCCTGACGGGCATTAAGTGAGAGAGAACAAAGCAGGGTGCGCTTGTTCTGCTGATTCAATCTCTCTATGAGCCGAGAGAATCCATGTTTCCTATTGGGTGCTTGGCTGTTAGGAATAAATCCTAGCTTATCACGCAAATGAAAGCCGCAGTTTTGAGTTGCTGCCAACTCCAGTAGCGCTGGGCCAGTTCCCAAAACAGCGTTCAGACCCGCTTCCCTTGCTGGTCAGGGAAAGCCCAGGGTGAATTCACAACAAGGCTGTGGGTAGCTTTGCCTCTGCCCCTCATCTTACCATTTCCTGCTTCTGATTTTAAGGTCTCTACAATTACTATGATGATGAGACAGAGAAGCTCCAGGTGGTAGAGATGCCACTTGCTCACAAGCTCTCCAGCATGATCTTTATCATGCCAAACCATGTGGAGCCTCTGGAGAGGATTGAGAAACTGCTGAACAGGGAGCAGCTAAAGGTCTGGGCTGGCAAGATGAAGAAGAGATCAGTGGCCATCTCGCTGCCTAAGGTCGTCCTGGAAGTCAGCCACGACCTTCAGGTAAAGTTGGTCCTTAAGGAAAACACTTGGGCCTTGCAGTTCTTTGGGGTGGGAGAGAAGATAGTGGGAAGATTTTTCTGTGCCTGTAATCCTTTTTCCAGTGGCTAGCCTAACCATGGCTGGAAAGGATTGCACTGTGTCATCTCTGGGAGGGTTGCTGACCTCTTTTCTCCTCCTAGAAACATTTGGCTGATCTGGGCCTGACAGAAGCCATTGACAAAACCAAGGCTGACTTGTCAAAGATCTCTGGCAAGAAAGACCTTTACCTGTCCAACGTCTTCCACGCTGCTGCCCTTGAATGGGACACGGAAGGGAACCCCTACGATGCTGACATCTACGGCCGAGAGGAGATGAGGAACCCCAGGCTCTTCTATGCTGACCACCCCTTCATCTTCATGATCAAGGACAGTAAAACCAACTCCATTCTCTTCATTGGCAGGCTCGTGAGGCCCAAAGGGGACAAGATGCGTGATGAGTTGTAGTTAGGTTTTTTTTTTCCCAGAGCTTTGGTTTGTGTGTTTTTTAGTGGGGGATTTCAAAAAAGGGGAAACACTATTTTGTATCCTTCTCGAACTATGGGTGCTATTCAGACCAGGGTGCATTGTGATGAGAAACCAGCATACACTTTACCTCACCCCAAAATACTTATTGCACAAACCCACCTCCAGAGAGGAACAGGGAAGCTTGGCACAAGAGGGTCACCAGGAGTGGAAGGGAACTGGCATGCACTGTCTCAGCTACTGGCATTCTCAGCTGAGATGTTCAGGCTGATGCCTAGCTCCTCCCTACACTAGAGTTAAGCCTCCTGCTAAGTACCTTGCTGCTACCATCAGCCCTGCAAAGGCACAAGCCCTCCACCCTTCCATCTCAAACGCTTCTGCACATTTAGCTCTGCCACTTACTTTTCTCCCCCTTTGACGCTATGCGGCACCACACCAGAGCTGCTCTGGTCGCTTTGCAGTTGTTCCTTGCTTCTCTCTTCAGCGGTGTATAACAGAGCACGAAGGGCCAATCCTGCAGTCCAGCCCACTCTATGGTCCTGGGAGCAGAGCAGAACCGTGACAGCATGTAAGTACAGAGACTGCGTGGAGTTGTGCCTTTCTGTCCTGCCTAACCCTGCTCTGCATGACCGTTAGATGCTTCAGCTGCAACAGGTCATCAGCTCCTTAGGTAGAACACTCGCTGCAAAGCCAAGCGCAGCTTTGCTCAACACTTCACAGAGAAGTGGCTTAGGGGTGTCAACAGAGAGGCTAAAGAGCAGATGGGCTTCTAGAAAGATAAACCTGAGGTCCCTTCAGCACTCCTGCATGACAGAAATGGCCCTCGGGATCACAAAGGGGGCTTTTGGGCCAACATCTGGAATTAAAGACCCTGTACTAGGCAGAGGGACTCCACTACTCTTGGTGCTTCTGCATCAGCACATAGGGCTGGGAAAGAGACAGTTACCACTGTGAAGGGTCTCCCAATTATTGACTAGGGCTGGTACCCGTCAGCTCCCGTAGCAGGCCAAGGGACTCCTGCGGGCTTCTCACGGGGAGGTGGATCAGGTTCACTTCCACTTTCTTGTTTAAATACAAAGCTTTAGAGCTGCCGTTACCTGACTTCCTAACGACCCTTTTCTGAAGCTCCTCTCCTCCACGATACTTTAGCTCCCTGTTGGCTGACCTGGATAAGGGCGTGCGGAAAAACAAATGTATTTATAGTTATACTCGTATTTATGTCTGATAATTAGTAAGTTTCACAGCCTGCTCCAGCCTAGACTTGGAGGCTAATGCCATCTTCTCTTTAAGGGATATCATCAGGTTAGTACTATTCAAAGAAGTAACCGATATGATCCCATGAGCATTGAAGCATGCGTCAGGTAAGCCTTGCTATGCACTGAGAGACATCGTAAAGCAAGTAATGACAAGATTATTGAAATGGGAGAAATCTGTGCATCACAGTCTAAGCGCCAGTTATTTGAAATCAGTAAGGACAGTCACTGCATTGCTTTTGTTTGTTTTTATTTCCCTGCTAATGTGCTTCATGTCAGGTTGCTACATAGAAGCCCAATACTGCATTTTTTCAGACCATACACAGGACTATTTCCACTTATTTATTAAGTTACAAGTACAAAGTCTCTTATTAGGTGTCTCCTATAGTCAAAAATACAGCAGCTTGACCTGACCATGCCTTCTCCAGGTTTGCAAGGTTACACAATCACAGAAAAGCTCATCTGCCCTAATTCCTATCCAAGCCAGCCGGAATGGGAGATTCTTGTCCTTAAGCCTCTTCCCAGATCATATTCCCAGGTGCTTTCCCCACTGTGTTGGGACGTAGGAGGCAATCCACAAGGATGTACCCAAATGCACAGGACGCCTAAAGCCCAGTGTGTATGCGAAGACACTATCCGCTGAATCAGCACACTGAAACCCACACGCTGTAGCACATTATGGGGGGTGGGTGGGTAAAAGGGGTGGGCAAGGCAAGAACACACTGTGGGATATTGTGAATAATTTGCATCATGTGGATGCAGGCGTCTGATGGCTTTTATTGTCTGTTCTTGTACCACACAAAGACAGTTGTATAATTTTGCAATAAAACTTTTTCAATGAACCTCCGGCAGCCAGTCACTTGCAGGGTTTGGGTAGAGACAAAATACTCTTAAGAGCTTAGGGAGGTTCCTTGCCATCTTTAAATCCAATACACCTCTCTTAATCTGTTAATTATGGACAAAAATTACTTAATACACAACAGATGGGTTCTCATGACATGTCTGTCGCTATTAGCAGGTCAGCTTTTCACTTCACTTTAAAATTTTTCTGAAACTGCAAGTATCCAGCATCTTTAATGCTTCACAGGTAAAGGACCTACTTACTGCCCTGCCCTCCTCTGACATTTAACAGAACAGCAAATGGCTGTTAAAATATGGCAGCGTAGGAAGAAACGGCAAGCTGTTAGCTGCAGGGACCAGCCTTCCTGACCCTACAACTCAAAAGCTTCTCTAGCTGGGATCCAATTGAAGGAAATAGAGGAGGAAAAGGAACTGCAAGAACCTGCACCATCGCTATGGCCATACAGCTAAATATGACTTCCACAGTTGGAAAATCCAGCAGTGTCAGACCCTGCTGGCCCGTGTCCTTCCACTTCTGGGAAGGGATTAACTTTCTGCCACTCAGTCACAAGCAAAAGTAAAGCCACAGACATCTCATCTCCCCTTTTCCCTGAGCCAAAATAGCACGTCTGGGAAGGACAGGCACCCACATCCATGTGGAGCTCCTCACAGACTGAAAAAGCACCAGCTGCTTGCTGGATCACAGTCTTTCACTGCACAAAATTACAGAAGCCATCTCCAGCACTAACCATAGCAGCCCAGGAACACCATCAACCTAGAATAGCAATACTGCAAGTTAAAAGCTTTCCAGAGCTCCTGAGCTCATCCTACCCCCAGCTCATCTTGCAAGCAGCTTTAAATACTCATGTTTTTCATCCTAGGGAAGACAGCACCCTCAAGACACAGGGAACTGAATGAGCCCCCTACCCCTCCTTTAGCAGCTTCTTCTAACAGCTCATGGTGGTGGCATATTCCAACCAATGCATGCTAGAAAGGTATTCGGTTCACATGTACCAACCTTCACCATTTTGGGACAATCACAGAATGGTTTGGGTTGGAAGGGACCTTTCAAGGTCGTCTAGTCCAACCCCCCTGCCATGGGCAGGGACATCTTCAACCAGATCACGTTGTTCAGAGCCCCGTCCAACCTGACCTTGAATGTTTCCAGGAATGGGGCATCAACCACCTCTTTGGGCAACCTGGGCCAGGGTTTCACCAACCTCAGTGTAAAAAAATTTCCTTTTATCTAGTCTGAATCTTTCCTCTTTTAGTTTAAAACCATCACTCCTTGTCCTATCACTACAGGCCCTACTACAAAGTCTGTACCCATCTTTCTTACAAGCCCCTTTAAGTACTGGAGGCCGCAGTAAGGTCTCCCCGGAGCCTTCTCTTCTCCAGGCTGAACAACCCCAACTCTTTCAGCCTGTCCTCATAGCAGAGGTGTTCCAGCCCTCGGATCATTTTGTGGCCTCCTCTGGACCCGCTCCAACAGGTCCATGTCTCTCCTGTGCTGAGGACTCCAGAGCTGGACGCAGAACCGCAGGCAGGGTCTCACCAGAGTGGTAATCCTTGATGTTGTCCTCAACTTCTCACAACATGATGGATCTAGCAAGAAGAGAGGTACAGCAATACCACTCTTAAACACACTGCTTGCACATCTCTTGATCTTACACACAAGCAAACTATAAACACCTCTTGATTCTATCAGTAATTGGCACTGTGAGATTAATAGGCTGATGGACCAGGTTGGAAGGCTTTAAACCAGAAGGAAACTGAGCCACCTACAGGAAAGCCAGCCCTCACTGGAGGACTGCAGGAAAAGTTTCTAGCTGATCATTGTCTATATTGGGACATTTTAAGAATTTAGACACAGTGTGCAAGGCCTTGCACTGTGTGTCACTCTTACATTGCTTCAGGCCTGCCAGCTTTCACACGTTTCCTGCTCCTATAAAGTGGCAAAGCTGGCCTGTCACTTTTTTTATTCCAAATTCAAATTTATATTTAAAAAAATAAAAAATGAATGTTGGTATTACTTACTCTAACACTTAACATGTAATAACTTTTTTTTAAAGCTTTCCACTGAAAGATGTGCACAGAAACCTGAAATCAGACTCACTCTCTGACACCCTGAGAAGGCACATCTGTTTCTCACAGACTTAACCAGCTTCCCAGCCAGCACCCTGCCAGGCTGGGTTTCCAGGAGGCCTGCCAGAGAAGCTGGGAACAGGAAGGCTGAGGCTGACACATCCACACATGCTGCCAGACAGACCAGTTCCTGACACCGTCAGTTTGAAATTCCAGTTCGTACACTGCCTGCCTAGCTCCTGCAAAGAAGTCTCCTGCAAATGGAAATCTGGATGTAAAAGCTATTCCTAAGCAACAAATTTTGCAGATTTGTACAATTTTTGTTAATGTAACGAACAGGTTCTGAATTTCTCAAAATCCAAACAAAACAAAGCCTTGATCCTGTGCACATGATCTCCTACGATGTGTGTAACAGTCTCTTCCCATTATGCATCAGACTTTGAAAAACACACTGGGAAAGGAGCTGGCAGAACTAGAATCTCTGCCTGAAACTTAACCAAATGCTCAATCTCACTGCTTCAGCTATGAGGCTTTAGTTTGACCGCAGCAGACAAGAGCATCAAAAGTAATTCATACAGCAACGGAACAGAAGTGAAAACACATCCCACCTACAGACTACGCATTTCAATAGCTTAAGTAGCCTTGTCATCTATTATCAACTTCAGGATCTACCTGTGTTATCATAAAGCTCATTAAAGCCAATTATTAATACAGTGACAAATTAATGGACTGTCTACTCAAGCCTCAAAAGAAGGGAAGTTTTTTTCCCCCAATCGCTTAAATATATTACCATCTCAAATCTTAGGACAGATGGTTTGAAATCCAGAGTGTACACTTCCCCACGACCAGCAATCTGTAAATACCTACTCAGAAGTTTGTCTCAACCCACACGTTCACCAACTAAGGTTACCTGACTCTAACAGGAGCTATAATGTTCCTATATGGTCTATAGCCTTGAAAGTCACATAGTGAATGTCTTTTCAGTGACAAGGGACATGGATGCACAGAGGTGAAAAAAGTATTTAGTAGAACATAGTAATATTTCAGTTGAAGCCAGAAAGGTATAAACTACTGCAACTGCTTCGGATATTGCTAAAAAAGCTCCCCCTTCTGGAAACCTCGGAGAAAGGGACTGGTATGCAAGTGAAAAGTTACCAGTACTACTCCAGTT